TTTTTTTTTTTTTTTTTTTTTGAAAGTGGCATAAGTCCATTTTTGGAAAAAATGAATTAATGGTAGGTTTTAGTCAGATATCCTCTTTTTATATTTATAATCACAAAGTCAATGGTTATACAGTAAATTAATAAATTAATAAAAAAAAGTTGAACTGTAAAATATTCTCGGAGGAATGTCTTTGTTGAAAGTGGAATAATTCCATTCGTAATAATGATGAGATTGAGAAATAAGATTGAAATATGAATAAATTTGTTATTATTAGTTATCTTAACGAAGTAATTTACTTTTCATACTTGTTTATTTATTTATAAATTCATTATGATATAACTGAAATTATTTCTTAATAAATTCGATTATTCGTTCGTACTTAATTATTTTTTACATTAAAAAATATATTTCAGAAAAGCCAACTTCAATTAAAATATAAATTTAAAATTGTTTAAATTTTTTATAATATCATTGAAAGTGGTACAAGTCCATTTGTAAGCTAAAAAATCATTTATTTTCTTTAACATTTTTATCAATTACTATTGCATAATAAAATTTAACAAATTTATAATTTTAAAAACGTTTATTACCCGAATTAATTAACGTTTGCCAATATTTTTAAATTGATTCAAATCCTTAAATATCTCAATACGTATACGAATAAACGGACTTATATCACTTTCAAAAGCAATTCCAATTATTGTTCAATTATGATACAATGATAGTCTATGACCTTGTTACACGCGTTTTTCTACGAACGAATATAGTATAATATCCATTAAATATCCAAATTAAAAAAAAAAAAAATAAATAAGAGATAAAAAAATTAACAATTATTCGTAAAAATATTCCATCTCATTTCTCATAATACTCGTTAACTCATTACGTAAATCTTTTAATCTATTTCGATGAAACGTATTGTTGCGAATTACATTTGAGAACCCATACAATTGCAATCGTTGCCTTGATCACAATTGTAACCGAAATTGTTGAGCGATTTCTAGGTAAAAAAAAAAAAAAAAAAAAAAAAAAAAAGGAAGAAAAAAAAAACAATCGTTTCTAGGAAGAAAATGAATGGAAATCAACAAAGTGTTACGAGAATTTTCGCGTAGGTGCACTCCGTGAGAATTTGTTAAAAGAAGGAAAATTACTCGTTGCAAATCCGCACGATGAGCCAGTTGAACGAACATGCCTGTTACGTGATGATAGTTTTAAACGAGCTTCTCCCTCTCAGAATCCTTCTGCGATGACTCCATTATATGCATCCATTTCTTTCCTCGATATACGAAGGACTGTGATGAGCATTCGTTTATCTTTCGAATTCCGTTAGAAAATCCGTCGAT